TTTTTTTGCAATCAGTTTTTCACTAAAAACTCAAAACTCATGCAAAAAACAGAGTATTAAATATTATTGAGAAATGTATCTGGATGTCTTTATGTGTTTGTTTTATTAATTCATTACAAATTAGAGATCAGCTTAAGAGTCAAAAACTAAACATCAATTAAATAACAAATAAGAGAAACAAACATTTCTTAAATAAATTTGAATTCAATTTTATAGTTATTATCAAAAGAAGAGTCGAAGTATTGAACACTTAGAGAGTAGTGTTGTAGGGGGTAGAGGGGGAGGAGGGCGTGGGGGTTAGTGTCTCACCCGTATAAAAGTAATTATTAAATTTCTTGACTCTTTCGGACACATTGAGCCACTTTTCGCTTGAAGTTTAAGAAGCTTTCTCTCCATTCCTTCTGTGGATTCAAACAACAAAACAAAATTATAATCAATAACTCAATGATAATACAAATGGTATGGCATTCAAGAGGACTGACCGCCGCGTCCACATTGGCCGGGGACTCATCGTTAGGGTCGGCTAACATCGATATAACAGATATGAGGATCGTCTCGACGGTATGCACGGGTAGCCAACGCTCGGACGCCTTCTCGTAGCCGTATTTGTCGTCTCCCGGCTCGTGAAGAATGGATATACAGACCTCACCGTTCTTGTCGACTATACAGAGATTAGAGGACACGGATTAATCATCGACACGAAGACAATGAACGCATGAATGGGTGGACACTCACTGTTCGGGTGCCAGATCTCTGTCACGAACTTCATTTTTGGAGGTCTTAACGGGTAGTCTTTGGGAAAGTTTAGGTGCGCTTTGAAGAACCCGCCCTCACTTGGGATCAGATAAACAGCTCATTAGTACCGCAACTCCAGACACCACACCAATCAACGCTCAAAACTTACTACAGAGTGTCGGGCGGACCGATGATCAGCACTTCCCAGATGTAGATGTCGTCGTCGTCCACCAGACCCGCTGAGAAGCCCTCCACCGGATTCTTCTTGAGGTCTGCCAATGAGTGAACACATGAGACATAGCGAAGACATCGCCAGAAAAGGACACGAAAAGAGATTAGACGCGAAGGCATTGGATGCGTAGTAAAGGCAGTGATAGATGGGTAGGAAATGGGCAGATAATGGGCTCACGAGTGAGTGGTAACCCTCCGGTGACCTACCATTGAGTTGTTTTCTGAGCAGAAGAGTCGACTGGTCTGTCATTTCATGAATGTGTGGTTCAGTTGGTCTGAATCGGCGGTCGACTCACCAATCAGTCAATCGCTTCAATATAGCACTCAATGTAATGTGAAATACAATACAAGCACTCAATGTATGCCTCAGTCTATGGGAAGGCTATGCGAGAGACTATGCGATACACAGTGTATGCGTCCAATGGATAAGCGTTTCAGTCACTCACTGCCTGCCAGTCACTGCTCACTGTGAACACTGTCTCACTCACTGTCTCACTGTGCGATCGCTTTGTCTCCACAACACATTCACCTCAACACTCGCATACACCGCCACCAGATCACACACCTGTCCCCATATATCAGTACATACACCCTATTAATAATATGATTACATAAGCGAAATTCTAATTCTAGTCCCTTGTGAAATATTCTCTCATTATTCTAATATGCTACTTCATGACCACCATGCTCATTTTAAATGCACATGGATATATCGGTAAATCGGGCACAATAGCCATTCATACCAATTAGCAAATCACTCATTCATGTTAAGGCAGTTATCAGTGACTGTATAAGTAATATAACTTTATTCCGGTAGTTCTAACACCTATTGCCAATGCATTGCATTCAATGATCACTTCTATGATCTCATGAGTTACGGAACGGCTATAAATAGTCGATTCGTACGACCATTATATTCAAATTATATTCAATTATTTCTACACATCAGCATTCATTGCAATCATATGCCTAATATAATATGTTTATTCAATTCCCTATTCATTAAATTGTAGGCAAAAAACCAAACGTGAATATAATCAATAAAAAAAGTTACACTGTTATAAACTCATTAGAAATAATTCATATATTTATATAGCAATCTGTCAGACTTTTACTTGCATATTAAATGAATGATAGCAAAATCAATTATTTAGACTATATTTTGTATGA